GGTAGTAGGTTGGTAACATGAAACCACCCAGGGAGGTTACTACTGTCCTGTGGTAGTTATGTTGGTAGACGCAACCACCCATGGAGGTAATTACGTCCCTGTGGTAGGTAGGTTTGGTAGACAGCAGCCACAAGGGAGGTACTACTGTCCTGTGGTAGTAGGTTTTGGTAGACAGCAGCCACCCAGGAGGTACTATCTGTCCTGTGGTAGGTAGTTGGTAGGACAGTCAATCCCACCCAGGGATGTATTACTGTCCTTGGTAAGTAGTGGTAGAACAGAACCACCCAGGAGGTACTGAACGTCCTGTGGTAGTAGTTGGTAGACAGCAGAGCACCACCCAAGGAGGACTACCATCCTGGTGGAAATTAGTTGGTAGACAGCAGCCACCCAGGGAGGTATTACCATCCAGTGGTAGTAGTTATTAGACAGCAGCCACCCAGGTAGGTACTACCATTCCTGTGGTAGTAGGTTGTAGACAGCCATTCCACCCATGGAGGTACTACCATCCTGTAGGTAGTAGGTTGGTAAGAAACGGCCAACCACCCATGGAGGTATACCATCCTGTGGTAGATAGGTTGGTAGACAGCACCACCCAGGGAGGTACTAACTGTCCTGTGGTAGTAGGTTGGTAGACAGCAGCCACCCAGGGAGGTATTACCATCCTGTGGTAGTAGGTTAGTAGACAAGCAGCCGACCCAGGGAGGTAATACCATCCCACAGTGGAAGTAGTTATTAGACAACAACCACCCAGTGGAGGTACTATCCATCCTGTGGTATTAGGTTGGTAGACAGCAGCCACCCAGGGAGGTACTACCAACCTGTGGGTGAAGTAGGTTGGTAGACAGCAGCACCCAGGAGGTTATTACCATCCTGTGGTAGTAGGTTAGTAGACAGCAGCCACACCAGGGAGGTACAACCAACCAGTGGTAGTAGGTTGGTAGACAGCGCCACCCAGGAGGTACAACCATCCTTTGGTAGTAGTGATTGGTATACAGCACCACCCCGGGAGGTACTACCCTCCTGTGGTTAGTAGGTTGGTAGACAGCAGCCACCCAGGTAGGTACTACATCCTCGTGGTAGTAGGTTGGCAGACACCAGCCCCCAGGGAGGTACTACCATCCTTGTAGGTGTAGGTTGGTAGACAGCAGCCACCCAGGAGGTACTACCATCCTGTGGTAGTAGGTTTGTATACAGCAGCCACCCAGGGATGTACTACCATCCCTGTGGTATAGATTGGAGTAAGACAGCACCACCCAGGGATGTCTTAACCATCCCTGTGGTAGTAGGTTATTAGACTGCAGCCACCCAGGAGGTAACTACCATCCTGTGTAGTAGGTTGGTAGACAGCACCACCCAGGGAGGTACTACCATCCTGTGGGTAGTAGGTGGTAGACAGCAGACCACCCAGGAGGTACACCATCCTGTGGTAGTAAGGTTGTAGACAGCAGCCACCCAGGGAGGTACTACCATCCCTGTGCTAGAAGGTTGGTAGACAACAACCACGGCCAGGGAGGTTACTACCATCCTGTGGTAGTAGGTTGGTAAGACAGCAGCCACCCAGGGGGTACTACCATCCTGTGGTAGTAGGTGGTAAGACAAACAACCACCCAGGGGATTACACAATCCTGTGGAAGTAGGTTGGTAACAACAACTACCCAGGGAGGTACTACCATCCTGTGGTAGTAAGTTGGTAGACAACAACCACCCAGGGAGGTAACTAACCATCCTGTGGTAGTAGGTTAGTAGCCAACAAACCACCCAGGAGGTACTACCATCCAGAGGTAGTAGGTTGGTAGACAGCAGCCACCCAGGGGAGGAACTACCATCCTGGGAGTAGGTAGTTGGTAGACAACAACCACCCAGGGAGGTACTACATCCTGTGTAGTAGGTTGGTAAGACAACAACACCCAGGGAGTACTACCAACCTGTGGCAGTAGGATTGGTAGAACAACAACCACCCAGGGAGGTACTACCATCCTGTGTTAGTAGGTTTAGTAGAACAACAACCACCCCATGGAGGTACTACCATCCTGTGGTAGTAGGTTGGTAGAAGACAAGCACCACCCAGGGAGGTACTACCATCAGTGGAGAGGTTGGTAGACAACACCACCCAGGGAGGTAACTAACCATCCTGTGGTAGTAGGATTATAGACAACAACCACCAGGGGGTACTATCCATCCCTGGTGGTAGTGAGGTTATTGACAGCAACCACCCCCCCCAAGAGGTACTACCATCATGTGGTAGTAGGTTGGTATACAACAAACCCACCCAGGAGGTACTACCATCCGTGGTAGTAGGTTAGTAGACACAATCACCCAGGGAGGTACTACCAACCCTGTGTAGTAGGTTAGTTGACAGCAACCACCCAGAGAGGTACTACAATTCCTGTGGTAGTAGGTTTAGTAGACAACAACCACCCAGGAGTACTACCAACCAGTGGTAGTAGGTTAGCTGACAGCAACCACCCAGAGAGGCTAGGTGCTAACCATCCTGTGGTATTAGGTGGTTGTACAGCAACACCCAGGGATGTACTATACCAACCTGGTGGTAGAGTTGGTATAACAACAACCACCCAGGGAGGTACTAACCGTCCTGTGTAGTAGGTAATGTTGACAGCAACCACAACAGCGAGGTGCTATGGTGTATTTATACTACATGCCTGTGGTAGTAGGATGGTAGACAGTCAGCCACCCAGGGATGTATTACCATCCTGTGGTAGTAGGTTGGTAGACAACAACCCACCCAGGGAGTACTTACCTCCTGATAGTAGGGTTTTAGTGAGACAGCAACCACCCAGTGAGGTGCTATGGGTGGCTACCGTCCTTGTTAGTTAGTGGTAGACAAGCAGTCACCCAGGGAAGTACTACCATCCTGTGGTAGTAGGTTAGTAGACAGCAACCACCCAGTGAGGTGCTATGGTGCTACCGTCCTGTGGTAGTAGGTTGGTAGACAGCAACCACCCAGCGAGGTGCTATGGTGCTACCATCCTTGTGGTAGTAGGTTGGTAGACAGCAAGCCACCCAGGGGAGGTACTACCATCCTGTGGTAGTAGTTAGTAACAGCAACCACTGCCAGCGAGGTGCTAGGTGCTACCATCCTGTGGTAGTAGGTTGGTAGACAAGCAGGGCCACCCAGGGAGGAACTACGCGCTTGTGGCAGTAGGTTGGTAGACAGCAACCACCCAGGGAGGTACTACCATCCTGTGATAATAGGTTGGTAGACAGCAGCCACCCAGGGAGGTACTACCATCCTGTGGTAGTAGGTTAGTAGACAGCAACCACCCAGGGAGGTGCTATGGTGCTACCATCCTGTGGTAGTAGGTTGGTAGACAGCAGCCACCCAGGGAGGTACTACTGTCCTGTGGTAGTAGGTTGGTAGACAGCAAAACCCCATACCCAGGGACTACTACCATCCTGTGATAATAGGTTGGTAGACAGCAGCCACCCAGGGAGGTACTACCATCCTGTGGTAGTAGGTTAGTAGACAGCAACCACCCAGCGAGGTGCTATGGTGCTACCGTCCTGTGGTAGTAGGTTGGTAGACAGCAGCCACCCAGGGAGGTACTACTGTCCTGTGGTAGTAGGTTGGTAGACAGCAACCACCCAGGGAGGTACTACCATCCTGTGATAATAGGTTGGTAGACAGCAACCACCCAGGGAGGTACTACCATCCTGTAATAATAGGTTGGTAGACAGCAACCACCCAGGGAGGTACTACCATCCTGTGATAATAGGTTGGTAGACAGCAACCACCCAGGGAGGTACTACTGCCCTGCCAAGTGAGTGTAAAACAGAAATCTGTAATTGTTTTACATGATGGCTGTTGAGGTGGTTTGGTCATTTAGAGAGAATGGATCAAAGTACACAGAATGACTTGGAGAGCGTATAAATCTGTAGGGGAAGGAAGGCGGCGTAGGGGGCGTAGGGGTCGTCCTCGAAAAGGTTGGAGGGAGGGGGTAAAGGAGATTCTGAGGGCAAGGGGCTTGGACTTCCAGCAAGCATGTGTGAGCATGTTAGACAGGAGTGAATGGAGACAAATGGTTTTTGGGACCTGATGAGCTGTTGGAGAGTGAGCAGGATAATATTTTGTGAAGGGTTTCAGGGAACCTGGTTAGCCAGACTTGAGTCCTGGAAATGGGAAGGACAATACCTGAATTTTAAAGAAGGGGTTTGGGATATTGGCAGTTTGGAGGAACTTCTAAACTGTCATATCTGAGTGCCTCTGCAAAGACAGTGATTATGTATGAATGAGGTTAAAGTGTCGAGTGATGATGAAAGTATTTTCTTTTTGGGGGATTTTCTTTCTTTTTGGGTCACCCTTCCTCGGTGGGAGACGACCGACGTGTTGAAAAAAAAAATCCAAGATTTCAGGTATATCTTGCTACTTCTACTTACACTTAGGTCACACTACACTTGGATGTACAAGCATATATATACACACTCCTCTGGGTTTTCTTCTATTTTATTAATAGTTCTTGTTCTTGTTTATTTCCACCTATCTACATGGGGAAGTAGAACAGAATTCTTCCTCCATAAGCCATGTGTGTCGTAAGAGGCAACTAAAATGCCGGGAGCAAGGAGCTAGTAACCCCTTTTCCTGTATACATCACTAAATTTAAAAAGAGAAACTTTCGTTTTTCTTTTTAGGTGACCCTGCCTCGGTGGGATATGGCCAGTTTGTTGAAAAAAAAAAAAAAAATCATGGAAAGTTTGACATACGAAGAATTTAGTGTTGCATCACATTTGTTGCACTGCAAAGGTTGCATCACATGTGTTGCACTACATGTGCTGCATCAAAAGGGTTGCATCAAGTGTTGCACTGAATGTGTTGCATCACATATGTTATATCACTTGTTGCACGGCATTCATTTTCACTCAGACTCTGCCGTGTTGCACAAACTACTTTGTGCCTAATGGCTTCTTGTGTTGTATAACACAGCAAAACATTTTGCAACTCTGATTTATTGCTTGACAGATATGTCTAAGTTTAAACCAATACAAATGCATTATTAATTTATTAAAAGACAAATGCTATACCAATATGGGTTCTACCACTTTAAAAATACACAATATACAAACTGCTGGCACTTCAGCCACCGATGTAGACAGTATATCCTGCTATTACATATAATTTGTAAATAAAGAAGACATGTAACAGATAATATTGTCTTGTTAATAGTTACTGGAAGGGATGGACTACATTGCACACTGCTACTGTGACCCCTATAAAAAAAAAAAAAAAAAAAAAAAAAAAAAAAACAGAAATAACTGCATCAACAAGCACGCTCTCGGTCCTTGTTTATTTATTTATTCAGTGACAGTTATTTATTTACTTAATGTATTTCGTGGCTTATTAGACGCATTTTTTTGCATGCATAAGTGTCTCCAAAAACCACTCTGTGTCCTATAAATTGAAGGTCAGTGACTGGTGCTATAAGTTTAGGGTGTGGGGCGGGCTGTAGCTCTCCCAGTTACGTTCGATGCCGAGCCACTGAAACTAAAACAAGTTTATAAGCCGTGTCTTATAAGTTGCGAAATATGATATTTATTTATCATAAAATCATATGTGACACCATATTTTTGACTTATGATGCGTTTGTTGGAATGTAACCCCATTGTAAGTCAAGGGGCACTTGTAGTGGTCATGTGTATTTTATAAATGGGATGTGAAACCTGGCACTGGTACACCAGTGGATGCTTAACCAGTGCTGGTTCATCATCTGACTGACCTATGCCGGGAGAAATCATGATCTTTTCTGATGAATAAACACCACCACTAACAGGAATTATTGTACACTTAGCTTCTGATTTTATGCAATTTATTTACGAGCAAGCTATTCAGATGTACAAGTGCAATGGGACCAGCATTTCTAAATATTAGGTCTATTGGACCCTCTAAAGAGATTGCGATATTTCCCGACACCCAGACGCTTTCTCTTGAGGTCCCGCCTCTCCCACGTAGTTAGATCTTTAGGGATGCTCTGGGCACCAGGGAAAGGTAAAACAGGAGGCTCGGGCTCCAGTGGGTTGAGATTTTTTAGCCGTTGCAGAAGAATTTCCTTATTAATTTCCTTTGGATCACGATGCAAATCCAAGTACCTGAAAAATATAAATTTCTTCATTAAAATAAACTTGCAAATAAAATAGGCTGCTAAATCTTTAAAAAAACTATAAAAAAAAATTTTAACACACTGGCCATCTCCCACCAAAGAAGGGTGACCCAAAAAAGAAAAAAAGCTTTCATAATATTTTTCTTCTTTCTTCTTCTTTCAAAAGAGGATAAATAAGTTTGATAGGAGTGAATGGAGACAAATGGTTTTTAATACTTGACGTGCTGTTGGAGTGTGAGCAAAGTAACATTTATGAAGGGGTTCAGGAAAACCGGCAGGCCGGACTTGAGTCCTGGAGATGGGAAGTACAGTGCCTGCACTCTGAAGGAGGGGTGTTAATGTTGCAGTTTAAAAACTGTAGTGTAAAGCACCCTTCTGGCAAGACAGTGATGGAGTGAATGATGGTGAAAGTTTTTCTTTTTCGGGCCACCCTGCCTTGGTGGGAATCGGCCAGTGTGCTAATAAAATAAAAAAAAAAATTCTTCTTTCAACACACCGGCCGTATCCCACCATGGCGGGGTGACTCAAAAGGAAAAACGAAAGTTTCTCCTTTTACGTTTAGTACTATACACAGGAGAAGGGGTTACTAGCTCCTTGCTCCTGGCATTTTAGTCACCTTTTATGACACACATGGCTTACAAAGGAAGAATTTTTTCCCACTTCCCCATGGATTTATTATTATTATTATATTTAATATTTCTCATAGGGATAACTAAACCCGTAGAAGCCATACAGTGCCTCGGGAAATGGGAGGTAATCAGATCCAATCTTAGGTTGGGTGCATTGGCTTAAGCCGGTAGGAGACTTGGACCTGCCTCGCATGGGCCAGTAGGCCTTCTGCAGTGTTCCTTCGTTCTTATGTTCTTATGTTCTTATGTACATTATTAATATTTTTATTGCAGTAAGCTCTCATTAAATGAGCCTCCATAAAGCAAATATCAGCTAAAACGGACAAAAAAAAATCAGTTCAAAGGCTCAACATGTATGTTTAATGGGATATCTGATTAAAATAGCCACAAAGCAGACCAAATCCGCTATCTTGAACGGCTGTCTGGTCTGGCCATACATTTGATAAAATGAACTAACTCGGCTTAACTGCAAGTTGTACAGCCCTGGGGATCATCTTCGATACTTCCATCTTCATTGTTACTGGGCGGTGGGGCCAGTGACTGCCTAGGTCAGTGTGTTATTGTCTATGCGTTTCCTCACACCAATTTTCCCTGAATTTACAGTGTTTTTAATCATTTTATTAAAGCACTGGTCTCTAAAGCAAATGATGGTACCAAAAGCACGTAACCTTAACTCTTAAGCAGAAATTTGAATTACTAAGGAAGGTGGAGGCTGATGTTTCAATGGCCCAGGTGTGTGAGGAGTTACCTGGAGTTTACCTGGAGAGAGTTCCGGGGGTCAACGCCCCCGCGGCCCGGTCTGTGACCAGGCCTCCTTAGGTCAGTGTCCCAGGATGCGACCCACACCAGTCGACTAACACCCAGGTACCCATTTTACTGATGGGGAACATAGACAACAGGTGGAAAGAAACACGTCCAATGTTTCTACTCTGGCTGGGAATCGAACCCAGGCCCTCGCCGTGTGAAGCGAGAGCGTTAACCACCAGGCCACCAGAGCCCACCGTAGCAAAACATTCATAGAAGCAGAGGTCACCATTACACCTCCTGAGAATACTGTACATCTGTACACTTATCTTACTGTACTGTATTGTACTCTGCTATACTTTTAACTCATTTTTTTCAGGTACAGGTAATACTGTATTGTACTCTAGTTTATTCTTAGCATGTCCAGTAGTCCATCAATACAGCAGACTAAGTCTGTTTTATTGGGTGTCTGTCCATGTCTGGTAGTCGATCAATTAAGTGAATTACATCCTTTAATCGAAACTTTCAATGTAATGGATTTTTGCTAAAGCAGACACCGGTTCCCCCTACTGGTCTGTTTTATCAAGAGTTTACTGTATTATTATTATTTACTTATTTTATAACTCCTGCTGAGGAGGGTTATATTATTATAACAATTATGTTAATTTGATTATAATAATAAAAATAATAGGGAAGAACTAAACCAGTGAGGGGCATAGAGCCTGGGGAATGGGAGGTAATCACATTTGATCTGAGAAAGTGGAGCTACACTCCACTTCCTCAGATCAAGAGCCCTCTACTAGCATCAAGACACCCCCCCCTTCCCCATTTAAACAGATCAAATGAATACACATGCAGGCCCGCTTTAAAGCGTTTCACTAATCAGTGGTTTTCCAATATACAATAAATACATTTACCACTCACTATAAGCTAAGGGTGAAAATATTTTAAGGTAAGTAATGTGTGTACTGTATATGCAATTTTTAGGCCTAACTCTATTGCTCACTTAATATATGATAGTGTAAACATGCTATCAGGCTTTTATATGCATTTAAAAGTGAAAAAGCTATGTTTCACTTTACAGCAGTAGCCTGAAACCTAACCTGCTGTATAAGTACGACCCCCTCCTGAACAGTTAAATAGAGAACACATCTCACACCACAGCCTGGTAAACACATGAGGATTTTTTTGTGTTAAAGATATACAAACATTTCCTTTCCACCAGCCTGGCTGATCAGGCAAGCACCAGACGAGCCTGGCCCAAGGCCGGGCTCTGGGAGTAGAAAAACTCTTGGAATTTATCCAAGGTAAAGGTACAGTATATCCAAGGTATTTTCATACAAAGGGAGCACTGGGAATAGGAACCCCTTCTCCTGTATAAATTACTAAATTTAAAAACAAAAACTTTAGTTTTTCTTTTTGGGCCACCCTGCCTTGGTGGGATACAGCCGGTGCGTTGAAAAAAAAAAAAAAGAGGAACAAGAAGTTTTTCATGTCGCCCTGCCTCGGTGGGAGACAGCCAGTGTTAAAAAAAAAAAATCCAAAATTATATAACAAAAATATAGATAGAGCAAAGACCAGCAACAAGAGTTATACAAGACACAGTAAAGTCACAGCTGAAACACAGTTATGTGCAATAGTGAACCACACAACTTGCTCACACACATATTTCACTTACCTATTTCCTAAGCTACCCAGTGAATTAGCTTCGTGATACTACCTGGTACTTTGTTTCACTCTACAACCCTACTGCCAAATTAATATTTCCTAATTTTTTCTTTATATTTTCAATGCACTGGCCATATCCCACCAAGGTAGGGTCCCTCCCCCCATAAAAAAAGAAAATTTTTTCCGAACAAACTACGTAGTTGTATCCTACCAAGGCAGGGTGACCTAAAAAAAAATGAAAGTTTCTCTTCTTAAAATTAGCAATGTATACAGGAGAAGGGGTTACTAGCCCCTTGCTCCAGTATTTTAGTCGTAAGCTCCTCTCTTCTATGTGCGGGTTATTTGTGTATTTTAGTCACCTCTTACAACACGCATGGCTTACAGTGAAAGTACTCTTTTCCACTTTCCCATGGAAATATTTTCTAAATACTTACTAATATGAAATATTACCTTCTCTCAGTTCCCCCTACTTTCCCATTTTTTCAGTGCTGTCATAATGTAACTTATTTTACAAAATACATACATGTACAATACATGAAACATGAGAAAACCTACGTGTTGAATTGCCTCCTCAATGGAAAGTATTTCTGAGGTGCAAGATATGGTTTTGGGAAGTCATACTCATAAACAGGCTCCCGCATTTCTGAAACAAGAAAAAATTGTATAAGAGTTATTACAAGTAAAAAAAAAAAAAAGAATACGTATGACCAAAATATCAAGGCCCACATGATGACTGACAAAAAAACATAGGTCTATAAATCAATTCAAATTTATACAGGATTTAACACCTCTGTGATCATATTCTGTTTCATCTTTTACATGACCTACCATCACAACAACCCCCTACTCCGCCCTCTGAATTATACTTATCGTAATCCCACACCCTCTTCAAATTTCTAGCTCCAAATTCTCTAGTTTGTTTTTATAAAGCACCAGACGTCTCTCACCGAGGTACAGTGATCCAAAAAAGAAAAACACTTTAAACTTTTTTCTTTTTTTGCAAATTCCCTGTATATTTACACAATACACTGAACACAAATATGACATGTTCATTGATGTCAGTGTCCTCCTTGCTGTAGTTTGAAGATTATACCTTACAATCTTAACAGAGTTGGTTCAAATATACAGCCTCTCCTCACTTAGCAATGTACTTGTTTACCGACGCCTCAGACTTATGACAGGCTCTCTGACTAGCATTTATACCTAAATAATGTACATTAGAGCTGATTTCCTCTAATCTGTTTATTTCAATATATAATACACTACTGTACAAACATTTAAAAATACACCAGAAATGTTATAAGTGGTGCAAAGATGACATTAAAACAATATCAAAGATGGTTGACACAAACCCACTACCATTACAGTATGCTCCTTACTTAGCGATGAATTCGTTTAACAATGTGGTCTTAGGAATGGAACTCTGTCATTAAGTAGGAGAGGCTGTACTCAGGTACATATCCCCTTTTTGTTTTCACAAACTTTTTTCTTTCCATATATGCATCAACACTCCACATACCACTTTTCCATTGTCTATGCAATGGTTCCCCCCATCTTACTCCTTCCCTCTAATCGTAACAAGTTTGTGTCAACCATCTTTAGATACTTTTTTAACGTGACCTTTGAACCATTTATAACATTTTTAGTATATAGTATATATTTTTAGTGTAGTGTACTGTATACTGCAATAAACAGAATAGAAGAAATCAGCTCTAATATACATTACTTAGGTTTGAATACTCACTGGAGAGTTGGCTGTAAGTCCAAGCAGTCAGTAAACAAGTACGTTGCTAAGTGAGAAGAGGCCGTATCCAATATTTCAATCTTTTATATGTTCATGTTCCATCTCTGTCATTTACATACCCACCCAAAACTCATCCACCAATCTTTGCAACTTCTCTTCATAATCTCCCAAAGAACCGTGCCACTGACAAAGAAACTCTGTCAACTCTTGCTTTGTATCAGATTCATTATTTTTTAATCCCACACCTCTCTCAAACACCCTAGCATTTACTTCTTTTACCTTAAAGTACATAAGTGAACAATACTTAAATAATGTAAGAAATTGCTTGCTGCATATATGGATTTAGAAAAAGCAAATGATAGGGAAGCAATGTAGCAAATGCATACAATATGTAGAAGGCCACTAAAAACAGAATTGAAATTTTATGAGGATAATGTGGCTTAGGATAGGTTATGTACAAAAGGCAGGAATTATTGGATGTGTTATGTCACCATATTTTTATAAATGGGATTGCAGAAGAAGTGAATGTTAGGGTATTTTAAAGATGCATGGAAGATAATGTGGGGTTATGTAAGGTATAATACAGAGGCCAGGGAAGGGACTGTTGAGGTGGTTTGTTTATTTAGAGCAAGGTAATCTAAGCTTTATTACCTTGTGCACCCCAAACCAAATTTATCCTAACCCACACACCTCATCTCATAAATTTTTTTCTCCATTTGGCATAAGCTAACAAAACATATGAATTACAGTGGACCCCCGGTTAACGATATTTTTTCACTCCAAAAGTATGTTCAGGTGCCAGTACTGACCGAATTTGTTCCCATAAGAAATATTGTGAAGTAGATTAGTCCATTTCAGACCCCCAAACATACACATACAAACGCACTTACATAAATACACTTACATAATTGGTCACATTCGGAGGTAATCGTTATGCGGGGGTCCACTGTATTTAATCTCAGAAGAAGTAAATACAGAGTTCAGAGAATTTTTCTAGCTTTGCATTTTACTCATGAGCAAATTGAAGGAGCGAGGTGCAGCTTTCTTAGCGACCAGAAACTTAGTATGAACATCATCCTTGCTGGGTATTTATTGTCCTCGATTCATAATATATTCCATAAGTTATTGACATGTAATTTTTAAGTAGAATTAATACAATATTAGTTTACCAAAGAATAGTAAAGCATGCATCCCCTGTTAAGGCTCTATTCACCCTCAGACAACCTTGATTTAGAGGATAGAGCAGGATAAGATGGCCAAGGTGTACAAAACAGGGGTAGAAGGAAGGAGTGGTAGGGCTTGTCTTAAGAAGGTTAGAATGACCAAGAAGGTGTACAAAAAGGTGGTTAAAAAAAAGGTTATAATAAAAATGTGTATTTTATTACCACTGCTACTCCACTGGAACTGCAGAAAAAACAAAATAGTCCAGATGTGTAAATTGTCAGTAACAAGACTGAAAGCTATAAACTACATGTCAAGGATGAGCTATAATCTACCCATACAAAGATTCATCAAAATTAGCTCATGTAAGAATGATGTAAGTAAACCACTTACTTTAGAATGATGTTCAAGAGATGTAATACTGAGACAATAATGGTTGTAGGACTTCCAATCTGCAGTCATAAACATGTCTGACACAACTGTCCATTGTACTATTATTTTACATGCTATCAGCATGAATTATGGTGAAACTGTTTTTTTTTTGGGTCACCATCCTCAGTGGGAGACAGCAAATGTGTTACAAAATAAAAATTTCAGGGTTACAAATGACTCTTACCCAAATTGAAACCTTTCTGAACACTACTTGTTCATAACATGGCAACGAGTGTAGACATATATATAGGCAGTACTATGTATATATTTTGAAATGCTCCTTACTCAGCGTATGGTGGAAGAAGTCAGTGAGTGAGGAGTCCCAGTCTGACTGGAACCATGACAAGCCTGCTGGAGTGATATTGTCCTGCAACTCACGGTAGAAACTCAGTGTTGAGAAGGTTCGCTCCTTAAGTGACAAACTGCAAGTATAATTTACACTGTGTACACTAAAATCTCAGTGCTATATTTAACCCATAAACGGTCCAAATGTATATATACGTTTTTTCAACATTTGATAGTATGTAAAAAAGTAGATCTTCTTTTTTTTTTTTTTTACATTTGAAAACGTGCAAAAAAACTTTGATCTACGTTATTTTTTTTTTTTGTTATATTTGAAAATATTTAAAAAAAAAACGTAGATCTACTTTTGGAGCACTACGCATGTGAACGTAGATCTGCTTGGTCCGTTTACGGGTTAAGCTGAACCAAGAACACTTGATGCATTATGGACAGTAAGGGTGACCACAACATCTAAACTTTTGTTAATGAAAAAAAAAAAATATGCATGTAGAAATGATCAGTACAGTATGGCCCTGCTTTACGGCGTTTCACCTTACGGCATTCCGCTAATACGGCAATGTCAATTTATAACCAAAATTTGCTATAAGGCAAGCGGTCTTTCAAATACGGCGCACCCCACCCGGTTTGTTTACATTCTTGGTGACCACATCCATTATGTCAGGAAACTTTCCAAAATTTCAAGTGTTTTAAAGTTACTGCGTATTTTATATATACAGTGGACCCCCGGTTTACGATCAGCTCCCAATGCGACCAATTATGTAAGTGTATTTATGTAAGTGCGTTTGTATGTGTATGTTTGAGGGTAATAATAATAATATCTTCATTCACTCTAAAAATGGTGTGTTGCTGTTTGTTTATTCTGTACTAACTTGTATAACTTGTACACAATGTAAGAATATTTATATTGTGAAGCAATTATTATTATAATAAAAAAAATATTGAGGTAAATGTTTTACAAACTCTTACAAACGTACGTGAATGAACTAAAAGTAGACACATATTAATACGCATTTATTTCGCCTGACCAAGTGATCGTCCACTACCTGTTCAGTTTGTGTTCTTACATTCTCTCAACTCTGTATCTCGTTCTCTCTCTCGTTTACTCTTTTGTTAACTAGTTGGTTCTCATTGACGATGGCGTCTAAGCTTAGCTGTGATAAAAAGAGGAGCCGTAAGGCTCCTGCTTTAAGTGCCAAGTTAGAGGATGATGGTGTGCCACCCTGCCACTCACCTCTCACACGTTAATATTAATATTTTAAGGTAAGTAATAAGTGTACTCTGTGTGTATCTTACCTTTTATTGTGTTTTTAATGCCTATTTCTACTGCTAACTTAATATAAGTTAGTGTAAGCTTGTTGTCTGGCATTTATTGCATATTTTGTATGTGCTCTGATAATAATACTTGTGGACCTGTGTGGTAGCCAGGCAGAGAGATAACATTATGTTTTCTCTGCTCAGCCACCAGAGAAAACGTGTATGAATCTGCGTTTGGCCCAGCCACTCTCCACTCCGCTTTTGTTTACAATTTTCGGCATGAATTATTCATTACTTCTCCCTTCGTTTATGATGGCATCTAAAGGTAGCTGTTAGAAACGATTAAATTCAGTGAACAAGATATGTCGATGCTAATAATATGGCTCTGGGCCACAGTGTAGGTAGCCAGTAGGTGTAGCCCAGGCATGCTACACCTACCGGCTACCTACCCTGACTTCCTACAAATAAATACTACTCACCTCTCTTCCTACATTAAGACTACATATATTTTAAGGTAAATAATGAGTGTACCGTATGTGTATTTTAACTCTCTGGGCTGTTTTAAATATCGTATATTAAGTATGAGATGGGGAGCCAGGGCTACCTACACTGACTTCTTACAAATAAGTACTACTCACCTCTCGCCCTACATTAAGATTACAAATAGTTTAAGATAAGTAATGAGTGTACTGTGTATGTATTTTACTTTTTGTGTTTTTTAATGCCTAGTTCTATTACTAACTAAATATAATTTAGTGTAAACTTGTTGTCTGGAATTTATATGCATTTATAAATGGAAAAAATAGCGTTCTGCTTTCTGGCGATGTCTGCTTTCCGGTGACAGCCTGGAACCTAACCTGCCATGTAAGTGAGGCCCTACTGTATATAAAATATACTGAAATATTTTTTTTTTAAGTTTGCAATAACTTTTACATGCATAAGTAGTGTTATAAGGCATTTTTTATCAATGTTTATAAGCTGAGTTGACCCTTACTATTGTCAATACCTTATCTTATTTTTTTCACTGTACCTATTTACTGAATTATATATAAATATATATATCCATGGGGAAGTGGAATAAGAATCTTTCCTCCGTAAGCTATGCGTGTTGTAAAAGTCAACTAAAATGCCGGGAACAATGGGCTAGTAACCCCTTTTCCTGTAAAGATTACTAAAAAGAATAAGAAGAAGAAAATTGTCAAAGTGGGAAGTCTGAATGTGCGTGGATGTTGTGCAAATGATAAGAAAGAGATGATTGTGGATGTTATGAATGAGAAGAAACTGGATGTCCTGGCTTTAAGTGAAACAAAGCTGAAGGGGGTGGGAGAGTTTCAATGGAGAGGAATAAAATGGGATTAGGTCAGGGGTTTCAAATAGAGTTAGAGCTAAAGAAGGAGTAGCAATAATGTTGAAGGATAAGCTATGGCAGGAAAAGAGGGACTACAAATGTATAAATTCAAGGATTATGTGGAGTAAAATAAAGATTGGATGTGAAAAGTGGGTTATAGTAAGCGTGTATGCACCTGGAGAAGAGAGAAGTGTAGAGGAGAGAGAGAGATTCTGGGAAATGTTGAGTGAATGCGTGGGGAGTTTTGAATCAAGTGTGAGAGTAATGGTGGTTGGGGATTTCAATGCTAAAGTGGGTAAAAATGTTATGGAGGGAGTAGTAGGTAAATTTGGGGTGCCAGGGGTAAATGTAAATGGGGAGCCTTTAATTGAGCTATGTGTAGAAAGAAATTTGGTAATAAGTAACACATATTTTATGAAAAGAGGATAAATAAATATACAAGGTATGATGTAGCACGTAATGAAAGTAGTTTGTTAGATTATGTATTGGTGGATAAAAGGTTGATGGGTAGGCTCCAGGATGTACATGTTTATAGAGGGGCAGCTGATATATCGGATCATTATTTAGTTGTAGCTACAGTTAGAGTAAGAGGTAGATGGGAAAAGAGGAAGGTGGCAACAACAAGTAAGAGGGAGGTGAAAGTGTATAAACTAAGGGAGGAGGAAGTTCGGGCGAGATATAAGCGACTATTGGCAGAAAGGTGGGCTAGTGCAAAGATGAGTAGTGGGGGGTTGAAGAGGGTTGGAATAGTTTTAAAAATGCAGTATTGGAATGTGGGGCAGAAGTTTGTGGTTATAGGAGGGTGGGGGCAGGAGGAAAGAGGAGTGATTGGTGGAATGATGAAGTAAAGGGTGTGATAAAAGAGAAAAAGGTTTGCTTATGAGAGGTTTTTACAAAGCAGAAGTGTTATAAGCAGAGCAGAATATATGGAGAGTAAAAGAAAGGTGAAGAGAGTGGTGAGAGAGTGCAAAAGGAGAGCAGATGAAAGAGTGGGAGAGGCACTGTCAAGAAATTTTAATGAAAATAAGAAAAAATTTTGGAGTGAGTTAAACAAGTTAAGAAAGCCTAGGGAAAGTATGGATTTGTCAGTTAAAAACAGAGTAGGGGAGTTAGTAGATGGGGAGAGGGAGGTATTAGGTAGATGGCGAGAATATTTTGAGGAACTTTTAAATGTTAAGGAAGAAAGGGAGGCGGTAATTTCATGCACTGGCCAGGGAGGTATACCATCTTTTAGGAGTGAAGAAGAGCAGAATGTAAGTGTGGTGGAGGTACGTGAGGCATTACGTAGAATGAAAGGGGGTAAAGCAGCTGGAACTGATGGGATCAGGACAGAAATGTTAAAAGCAGGGGGGGATATAGTGTTGGAGTGGTTGGTACTTTTGTTAATAAATGTATGAAAGAGGGGAAGGTACCTAGGGATTGGCGAAGAGCATGTATAGTCCCTTTATATAAAGGGAAAGGGGACAAAAGAGATTGTAAAAATTATAGAGGAATAAGTTTACTGAGTATACCAGGAAAAGTATACGGTAGGGTTATAATTGAAAGAATTAGAGGTAAGACAGAATGTAGAATTGCGGACGAGCAAGGAGGCTTCAGAGTGGGTAGGGGATGTGTAGATCAAGTGTTTACATTGAAGCATATATGTGAACAGTATTTAGATAAAGGTAGGGAAGTTTTTATTGCATTTATGGATTTAGAAAAGGCATATGATAGAGTGGTTTAGAGGAGCAATGTGGCAGATGTTGCAAGTATATGGAATAGGTGGTAAGTTACTAAATGCTGTAAAGAGCTTTTATGAGGATAGTGAGCCTCAGGTTAGAGTGTGTAGAAGAGAGGGAGAATACTTCCCGGTAAAAGTAGGTCTTAGACAGGGATGTGTAATGTCACCATGGTTGTTTAATATATTTATAGATGGGGTTGTAAAAGAAGTAAATGCTAGGGTGTTCGGGAGAGGGGTGGGATTAAATTATGGGGAATCAAATTCAAAATGGGAATTGACACAGTTACTTTTTGCTGATGATACTGTGCTTATGGGAGATTCTAAAGAAAAATTGCAAAGGTTAGTGGATGAGTTTGAGAATGTGTGTAAGGTAGAAAGTTGAAAGTGAACATAGAAAAGAGTAAGGTGATGAGGGTATCAAATGATTTAGATAAAGAAAAATTGGATATCAAATTGGGGAGGAGGAGTATGGAAGAAGTGAATGTTTTCAGATACTTAGGAGTTGACGTGTCGGCGGATGGATTTATGAAGGATGAGGTTAATCATAGAATTGATGAGGGAAAAAAGGTGAGTGGTGCGTTGAGGTATATGTGGAGTCAAAAAAAGTTATCTATGGAGGCAAAGAAGGGAATGTATGAAAGTATAGTAGTACCAACACTCTTATATGGATGTGAAGCTTGGGTGGTAAATGCAGAAAGCGAGGAGACGGTTGGAGGCAGTGGAGATGTCCTGTCTAAGGGCAATGTGTGGTGTAAATATTATGCAGAAAATTCGGAGTGTGGAAATTAGGAGAAGGTGTGGAGTTAATAAAAGCATTAGTCAGAGGGCAGAAGAGGGGTTGTTGAGGTGGTTTGGTCATTTAGAGAGAATGGATCAAAGTAGAATGACATGGAAAGCATATAAATCTATAGGGGAAGGAAAGAGGGGTAGGGGTCGTCCTCGAAAGGGTTGGAAAGAGGGGGTAAAGGAGGTTTTGTGGGTGAGGGGCTTGGACTTCCAGCAAGCGTGCATGAGCGTGTTAGATAGGAGTGAATGGAGACGAATGATACTTGGGACCTGACGATCTGTTGGAGTGTGAGCAGGGTAATATTTAGTGAAGGGATTCAGGGAAACCGGCAGGCCGGACTTGAGTCCTGGAGATGGGAAGTACAGTGCCTGCACTCTGAAGGAGGGGTGTTAATGTTGCAGTTTAAAAACTGTAGTGTGAAGCACCCTTCTGGCAAGACAGTGATGGAGTGAATGATGGTGAAAGTTTTTCTTTTTCGGGCCACCCTGCCTTGGTGGGAATCGGCCGGTGTGATAAAAAAAAAAAAAAAATTCAGGGAAACCGGTTATTTTCATATAGTCGGACTTGAGTCCTGGAAATGGGAAGTACAATGCCTGCACTTTAAAGGAGGGGTTTGGGATATTGGCAGTTTGGAGGGATATGTTGTGTATCTCTATACGTATATGCTTCTAAGCTGTTGTATTCTGAGCGCCTCTGCAAAAGCAGTGATGGTGTGTGAGTGTGGTGAAAGTGTTGAATGATGATGAAAGTATTTTCTTTTTGGGGATTTTCTTTCTTTTTTTTGGGTCACCCTGCCTCGGTGGGAGACGACCGACTTGTTGAAAAAAAAAAAAAAAAAAAAATATATAAAAGTTAAATATATATACACTGCAAGACAAGAGTGGAAATTTTAAGCTCAAGTACTTTCACACTTCTCAATGCGTCATCAGGAGCTGTGCAATGTTGCAAGGGCAGCAACAGGAGAGTATGGTAGCATGGGTGGCACCCACCAGAATCTCTCTCTGCATGAGAGAGGGAGGCCCAGCTGAATGCCAGCCACCCACTGGTGATAGGTGCCACCCACACTATCATACTCTGAAAAAACTTCCCCCTCATTTCTCCTTTTGCTGCCCTTGCAACATTGCACAGCTCCTGATGATGCATTGAGAAGTGTGAATGTACCTGAGCTTAAGATTTCCACCCCCCTGTGGCTTGTCTTGTATCGTTAACCTTGCCTGTCTGTGATTGTTTTGCATATACATACACATAAAACTCTCATAGTGAGACAATTTATTCATGGTTAAACATCTGCTGATGCATGGGAGCAACATTTCGCACAACACTGCAAAAATCAAAACTTAACATTTCCACATCCTAGGAGACCTTGATACAGTAAATACAACACTACTCAAACACAAACCAGGGCTGTTGTTTTTTATAGGTGGAATAGTCCATGTATCCATCTTGCTTGTACAATACGAAGACAAGGCGGTGGTAACCAGTGCCTCTTGGTGGGAAGGGCTGCAAGTAGTCACATATCACTTCTCCTGTAGTAATATCTCCACCTTTAATATTACCTCTGTAAAAAAAAATTCCATTGGTTAACAATAATGATCCAATTATTTTTTTTACAAAAATTAAGAACATATCATAAGTCTGAAGAGTAGAAATTCTCAAGGAAGAAAAATCGTGAGATTAGAAAAGCATTAAGATTCGTGAGAACACTCAATTCTAAAAAAAAACATGCATAGCTCTCAAAAAGTATGTGAAGGATTTACATTCCTAAAGCTCCCCTGAAAAAAAAAATGGCAAATAATGCATTATCATTAAAACGTTAAGAAAATAATGTACTGAGTGACTGTTTATGAAAGTGTTTCTTCTTTTTCGGGACACGTTGCCTCAGTGGGAAACATTCAATGCATTTAATAAATAAAAATAAAAACTTAGATATATTTTGGTTGCTGTGTGATCCAAGAAAGGCATCCCCGTACTCCATAATTCCAACCCCTTGTGCCTCTATGCATGTGACTGGAACAGTGCAGAGTGCAGTATAAGCTGCTAATGCAGTTAAATATTAGTGTTGATGATTTGAAGGGAATCAGAAGATGCATTCACAAGTCATCATATGGAAACTAATAAACAAATTTCCTCAATAAAAATTGTAAAGTAGGACATGTATGGCCCAAATCTAAATCAAAGCTTTCGAAAAGATTAACATGCTAAAATACACAAGCTCATTAAGCTTCAAGCAACTCACAAGTTGCATTATCTCATAATGAATATGGAAGAGTTGAAGCTAATCAGATGCGACACTTGGAAATTATTACTTGAAAAGCAGTACAGTAGGGCCCCACTTATACGGCAGGTTAGGGTCCAGGCTACCACCGTAAAGCAGAAAATGCCATAAAGTGAAACACCTTTTTTCTCCACTTATAAATGCATATAAATACTAGATAACAATTTACACTAACATATATTAAGTTAGCAATAGAACTAGGCATTAAAAAACAATAAAAATAGTAAAATACATATATAGTACACTCATTACTTACTTTAAAATATTTGTTGTCTTAATCTAGGGTGAGATGAGTAGTATTTATTTTAAGAAATCAGGTGCAGTATGTATGGTAGCCAGCCAGGCTACCATACCAGGCCATCCTAAACACACAATATTCTATGACATTTAAGCATCCCAGAGCAATAAAATGCATATACAGTTCACTAATTACTTACCATAAAATATTTGTAGTCTTAATGTAGGGTCAGAGGTGAGTAAATGAGATAAAACGAGTAAGTGAGAGAGAGAAAGAGACAGAGAGAGAATGAGTACATGAGAGAGGACACTCATGGAGTTATGTAAATAAACCAGGCGAACGCCAGCTTTGTAAACAAACTAGGCAAACACGTCTGGTTTGTGTACAAGTTACATTGTGTACAAGTTGTCTCTATGTTGATACAGTAGAATAAATAAAGAGGAACACTCCCATTCTCATGTAACACCATTTTTAGAAGAAATGACGCTCTGAGTAAAAGCATACGAAAGGAATAATTTTCTACAGTTACCCCTAGGAACACATTTTCTCTTATGTAAGACTAGAGAAAACGTTATTCTTGCCATCACTCGTGCAAGTTGTCTGGCTATCACATCTCATATACATGTTTATTTATTCTACTGTGGGGTGTATTTATCTTTATATGTTATGTATTGTGTTTATTATATAATTTTGAAAAAATATCACTGATGGTTTAATGAAAATGTGGATACTAACGTAATATATGACATTTAATGAGACTCGGTGATTATTATTATTATCATTACAAATATGGCGTCTCAAGACATAAGACACTCTTACTGATTTTATTGTGTACCTGCATGCCATCACAGCGTGTAAGTTTATTTAGGTACAGGTATACATAAGTATAATTATCAGAGCATATATAAAATATAAAATAACTTTTAAAAACACTTGAAACTGTGAAGTTTCCAGACATAATGGAGAGAAGTGGTGCTTATGGAGCTCACGGAGAATGTAAACAAACCAGGTGGGGTACAGTGACCATATTAGAAAGTCAGGTGGGGGGAGCTGTATAGCAAGTTTTGGTCATAATTTGAAATGTCCGTATTAGTGGAACGCCATAAAGCGGGGCCCTACTGTACCTATTTCAATTTTTCCAATCACTTCCAAAAATGAAAACTGGTATGAACACATGCCAAAATTAATCCAAACTTTTCTTTGTGATGAAATGGTTTAGAAAACCAAAAAGTTGAAGAATGAGACACTTGTGCAATACTTGGGAATCTTTGTTGAGGAATGTTTCACCAGCCAGTGGCTTCTTCAGTCCAATACAGAGAAGAATGGTGAAAGATGTGGAGGAGAATGAGGTAATCAGTCCCTCAGCCTGGAGTCGATGTGTTCAGATCATCAATCATGAAAAGATTGATGGACTGATCACATCAACTCAAGGCTGAGGGACTGATTACCTTAAACTCCTCCTGTTCTTCATCATTCTCCTTTGTATGGACTGATGAAGCCACTGTGTGGCGAAACGTTTCCTCATTAAAGATACCCAGGTGTTGCACATTTGTCTAATTTATCAACCTGTCGGTTCTCTGAACCATTCATCTACACAACCTAACTTCAAGAGGTTATTTCCTTTGAGGAAAACACATTTTTTTTCTGATCAAACCGGCCGTCCCCCACCAAGTCAGGGTGACCTAAAAAAGAAAAACACAAGCTTTTCTTTTTAAATATAGTAATGCATACAGGAGAAGGGGGTTACCACCGCCTTGTTCCCGGCATTTTAGTCGCCTTTTATGAAATGTTTGGCTGACAAGTGAAGAATTCTTTTCCACTTCTCCACGGAGTTTAAAGCTGACCAGACGATGCATTTGCCAGTTACTGCACAGTATCTACAAAATTTGTGCCTACACAGCCTACACACATAAAACCTTCCAACTATTTCACACAATGCATCAGAAATTGAAGATTGACGTCATTCACAATTGTTATACTTTTAAACACAGTTAAGTGCTAAACCCATAGGGAGTCATATAGTGCTTGTAGAATGGGAGGCATTCAAATTCAACCCAAGCAAGAGGGAGATAAGTCTAGTTCCTTGGATCAAGAGCTCCTCACCAGCATCGTAGCAAAATAATACGAAAAAGTAAAATAATATAATCCCATTTTGAGATTAACCCTTTGAGGGTGGGTGGTGTCATACTACAGCTTCGAAGTGCAGGTTCGTGCTGTAGTAATACATGTATTACTACATGTAAATTTTGGCCTAGATATGAGAGAATCGGTGTGTAGTGAGTGTACCATATCAAAAAATCCTGCCCCCCATGCTGTGTGAGACAGACAAAACAAAACTGTGATCATGAGTATGGCTTAAAATAGCAACTTTGTGGTGTATTTTTTTAATTTTTTTACGGCTTTATTCTCAGTTTCTTGGTATCTTTTAACAGAATGGAAGATACATTACAGAAATAGAGATGATTTTGAATGGTTTGAGGAATGGAAGTTGCTTGAAACAGAGCTCAAGTTAGCAGAAATATTAGATTTTTGTCAATATTCTAGAAGACACTAATCACGTCACATGTCTAATACGTACTACATGTCCAACTGGCTGGTCTAATATGTGTTCACTACTACAGTGACATTTACACAATTACTGCATAACAGTAAATCTACTACTTATTAAATAGCAAAATCAGTAAACTTAAAAACATAAATGTAAGATACAGTGGGACCACCATATGCACGGGGTATACATTCTGAGGACCTTCCACAGATACCGAAACCGTGGATAGTAGCAAACCCTAAATATAAGTCCTATACATACCTATTATGAAGTTTAATTTATAAATTATACACAGTAAGTGGAGAATTATCACTTTTTCACTGATGGGAAGCACTTCATGACTTCTCTTGGGCTTTGAAGAACTGCCATCTTCTCTACTTTTGTACTTTGAGGCCATTATTATGCAAAATTAAGAGGTGTTTTTTGGACCAAAGTAAACCGTGGATAATTGAATCTGCGAATACCTAATCAGTGGATATGGGGGTTCTACTCTATTTTTAAAATGCATGAAAAAAAATACATCACAAATCTGTATGCTGTCCTAGTCATAGACACATCCACTTGCACACACTGAGACAGTGAACAGAAAGAGAACAAAGTCACTCACAACAAGAAACAGCCACACACACACAATGAGGAAGAGATGCTTGATTAGGATTTAAGAAGATCTAACATAATCTCCTGTATACTGGAGAGTGACAGCAATGCATTTGTTATTTTTGTAACTAACAGTGTTAGAATGCTTTTAAGCACCGTTTCTTGTAAATTTAGCATGTTTTAGTGATGTTTCTTGTAAATTTAGCATGTTTTAGGTCTGTTTCTCATAAATTTAGCACATTTTAGTGCTGCTTCAAGTAAAATTAGCATGTTTTAGTGATGTTACAAGTAAATTTAGTGTGTTTTAGTGCTGTCTGACAAAAATTTAGTTTTTAAGCTCGTTTTAGGCAAGCGTTTTTTTCCACAATTTAGCCAGTCAGAATTGGGGGCGTCCTCGACACTGGAGCATGTTGTTTGCTGTAAAATTTGAAAGTGTTCAATCCCTTATCCTTAAAGAGTTGACAAGTGTTTAGTCCCTTATCCTAGGGTGTTCTTGTAAGTTACAATACATCACATATGTGCTGTCCAGAGTTGTTGCTGGACAACTTGGCTAAGGCTCAGAGGCTGAACACCTTCAATCAAAGGTAAGGAACTGAACACCTTCAATCAAAGGTAAGGAACTGAACACCTTCAATCAAAGGTAAGGAACTGAACACCTTCAATCAAAGGTAAGGAACTGAACACCTTCAATCAAAGGTAAGGAACTGAACACCTTCAATCAAAGGTAAGGAACTGAACACCTTCAATCAAAGGTAAGGAACTGAACACCTATCAACTCTTCAAGGATAAGGGATTGAACACTTTGCTGTAAAATATGGTCATTTCAAAGTGTTCAATCCCTTGTCCTTGAAGAGTTGATAGGTGTTCAGTTCCTTACCTTTGACTGAAGGTGTTCGGCCTCTGAGCCTTAGCCAGGTTGTCCAGCAACAACCCTGGACAGCATATATGTGATCCACTGTAACTTACAAGAACACCCTAGGATAAGGGACTAAACATCTATCAACTCTTCCAGGTTAAAGGACTGACAACTTTAAAATTACTTCTCCACTTCTTCCACTATCTCCAGTATCAAAGTCGCCTCCACATTCGACTGACAAAGCCTGCTAGCCAGGCAAAACATTTTGTCAATAGAGACCCAAGTGTTGCATATGTGTCTTACTCATCATTTCCAACAGTACTAGCTTGTTTATCTTCCAGTAACATAATAATCTTCAGAATACACACATAACTCGCCCAAAATACTCTGCATAACCATGGGCTTACTACATGCATTTAACCCTTAACCCTTTGAGGGTCGACAGGCCCTCTCCGAAACTCATTCTCAGGGTCGGCCAAATTTAAAAAAAAAAAAATTATTTTCTCTTATGAAAAGATAGAGAATCTTTTCCCGATCATAAAGACACCAAAAGTTTGAAATTTGATAGAAAACTTACGGAATTATGCTCTCGCAAAGTTAGCGGTCTCGGCGATGTTTACGCATCGGCGATTTTGCCCACTTTGAGCCCCATTTTCGGCCAATTTCACTGTACTAGTCGACAAAAAACATGAATATTTCGCTAGAACTCCATTTTTTTCTATCGAATGGGTGCAAGAAACCACCCATTTATGAAATTCAACTATCCAGTACAGTGGTCAGAATTTAGCAATTTTGCCAATTTCACACAAATTTCAAAAGATGCCAATTTCCGAATAGGGTCCAGAATAAACAAGAAAGACATTCCTGGCACTAAAATGACATTTCCTCTAGTCATTAGTCACGTCTCAAGGCCCCTCTTATATTCTGTTGCTTTCCACTTTGAATTTTTATTCTCACAAAAAATATAAGATTTACTGTTATGCAGACTACTGCATTAGTGTAAAAAATGGTATAAATATTATTTGTGCACTTGTGAAAGAATATTAGACTCACCAGTTGACGTGTATTGCACGCTTGGAACGATTTGTTTACTTTTGAAGTTTGGTAAAAATCGAACATTTCTGCTACTTTGAGCTCAATTTCAAGGCACCTTTCATTGTAAAACCAGTCAAAATCATCTCAATTTCTGTAATATGTCTTCCATTCTATAAAATGAGACCAAGAAAACTAGAATACAACAATAAATACCATACGAAAATACACTGCAAAGTCGCTGATTTATTCCAAAAAAATGGTCAAAGTTTTTTTTTTCTCATTATGCACTGTGTGCTGCAGGATTTTTTTTAGACTGTGCACACTGACCACATAGACCCATTCTTTCATATGAAGGCCTACCAGCTTTCTCCCACTAGATTTGAGGCCGCTAGAATTTATGCGTACTAGTACGTCAAAAACCCCTACGCGTAAGACGTACTAGTACGACCAAAACCCTCAAAGGGTTAAACGGTCCAAACAGATCGACGTTCAAATTCGTAGTACTACAAAAGTAGATCTACTTTTTTTTACATATTTTCAAATATAACAAAAAAAAATGCAGATAAAAGTTTTTTTTACACATTTTCAAATGTAAAACAAAAAAAAAATCTACATTTTTTTACATACTTTCAGATGTTGAAAAAGCGTATATATACGTTTGGACCGTTTAAGGGTTAAGTGTCACCTATTTCTGCATAAACAATGCATCGTGTTTACTTGGAGGGTGTTCCGGGGTCAATGTCCCCCGTGGCCCAGTCCATGATACCAGGCCTCATGTGGAAATAAATTTGAATTTGTATTATCAATACACTTAGCTATGAACAAAACTGCAAAATCATACAATTAGGGTAATGCAAAATTCACTGAATATAGACATAAATACTCACATAAACCAATGAAGACACTCAATCTCATTTTCCAGCAAATTGCCATCAGGGTTGGTGAGAATCAACGTCCACAGGTCATCCGGCTGGCTTTGAAACTCGACCATAGGCTCTTTGGCTGCCTAAGAGAACATTGAACAAGCTTATTAAAACTGTGTATTTAGAAAATCTAACAGCAAATACAAATTAAAATCAAAGATAAATATTAACAAATGCCTTGTGAATCTTGGTGGATCAATTATCATTTGATTTAATTGGAAATAGTGTATGATGACAGTACAGCACCTCAAGAGGTATTGCATTAGAAAGCTTCAATACAGTAGCCATATACAGTATTAGACTTCTGCTAGCCAATTTACAGCCAATTACAACTTACAACCAATTAAGAAATATCCACCAACCCCTTTCAATTTACAGCCAATTATGTAATATCCATCAACCACTTACAATTAAGTATGAGATCCTAAACTATAAAATAAGTCTTTTATGAGGAATTCAGAAATAATACAAATTAATTAACTACAGTTTAGATGTCTTATAAAGCTTCCCTATACAGTCCAATTTTTTGCAAATGTATCTGAAAAAGTTCATAAGTGTGCACCATGAAGGCCTTTCCTCATGCTACTTAATTTTGAGTGTACTGTTACAATCACAACATATAAAATACTGAGAAGAATTGACAAGGTGGATAGGGGCCAGAATGTTTCAGAGATGGAACACAGCAACAAGGGGTCAAAACTGGAAAAAAAACTCAAATGAATCACAGGGATGTTTATAAAAAAAATACATTATATGAAGGAGCCATATAAGAAAGCTTACTGAAGCTATCTCCTGGGTAGCTTTGGGAATAGGTTGGACAAATATGTAGGTGGGAGAGACTGGATTTGAGAGCTTGCTTAGTATGGGCCAGAAGGCCTGATGTAATGTTCCTCCAGTCTTAGGTTCTGTATTTATGTATCTCTAGATCTAATGCATTACAAAATGGGCCCTGAGTATTCTCATTCACAAAATATTAACAGTTCAACACCTACGTTTCAGCTACAAATTGTTTCCCTGAACTAATCTGCTTGGACTTCCTACTCATTTCTGCAACATTGAAAGGTTATGCTGTTGCAACACAAAAGACCTAGGGCTATCATTCAAATGTCCCTGTGGCTGCTTTGTATTTAACCTACACTGTATTACTAATTCTGATCATTTTTATAAAGAATAACAAAAGAATGAGGTTATTAACTCACAAAGAGTTGCAACTTGATGATGATGATAATAATAATAATAATAATAATAATAATAATAATAATAATAATAATAATAATAATAATAATAATAATAATAATAATAATAAGTAATAGTAATAATAAGTAATAGTAAGACAGAATGTAGGATTGCGGATGAGCAGGGAGGCTTCAGAGTGGGTAGGGGATGTGTAGATCAAGTGTTTACATTGAAGCATATATGTGAACAGTATTTAGATAAAGGTAGGGAAGTTTTTATTGGATTTATGGATTTAGAAAAGGCATATGATAGAGTGGATAGAGAAGCAATGTGGCAGATGTTGCAAGTATATGGAATAGGTGGTAAGTTACTAAATGCTGTTAAGAGTTTTTATGAGGATAGTGAGGCTCAGGTTAGGGTGTGTAGAAGAGAGGGAGAATACTTCCCAGTAAAAGTAGGTCTTAGACAGGGATGTGTAATGTCACCATGGTTGTTTAATATATTTATAGATGGGGTTGTAAAAGAAGTAAATGCTAGGGTGTTCGGGAGAGGGGTGGGGTTAAATTAAGGGGAATCAATTTCAAAATGGGAATTGACACAGTTACTTTTTGCTGATGATACTGTGCTTATGGGAGATTCTAAAGAAAAATTGCAAAGGTTAGTGGATGAGTTTGAGAATGTGTGTAAAGGTAGAAAGTTGAAAGTGAACATAGAAAAGAGTAAGGTGATGAGGGTATCAAATGATTTAGATAAAAAAAAATTGGGTATCAAATTGGGGAGGAGGAGTATGGAAGAAGTGAATGTTTTCAGATACTTGGGAGTTGACGTGTCGGCGGATGGATTTATGAAGGATGAGGTTAATCATAGAATTGATGAGGGAAAAAAGGTGAGTGGTGCGTTGAGGTATATGTGGAGTCAAAAAACGTTATATATGGAGGCAAAGAAGGGAATGTATGAAAGTATAGTAGTACCAACACTCTTATATGGATGTGAAGATTGGGTGGTAAATGCAGCAGTGAGGAGACGGTTGGAGGCAGTGGAGATGTCCTGTCTAAGGCAATGTGTGGTGTAAATATTATGCAGAAAATTCGGAGTGTGGAAATTAGGAGAAGATGTGGAGTTAATAAAAGCATTAGTCAGAGGGCAGAAGAGGGGTTGTTGAGGTGGTTTGGTCATTTAGAGAGAATGGATCAAAGTAGAATGACATGGAAAGCATATAAATCTATAGGGGAAGGAAGGAGGGGTAAGGGTCGTCCTCGAAAGGGTTGGAAAGAGGGGGTAAAGGAGGTTTTGTGGGCGAGGGGCTTGGACTTCCAGCAAGCGTGCATGAGCGTGTTAGATAGGAGTGAATGGAGACAAATGATACTTGGGACCTGACGATCTGTTGGAGTGTGAGCAGGGTAATATTTAGTGAAGGGATTCAGGGAAACCAGTTATTTTCATATAGTCGGACTTGAGTCCTGGAAATGGGAAGTATACAATGCCTGCACTTTAAGGAGGGGTTTGGGATATTGGCAGTTTGGAGGGATATGTTGTGTATCTTTATACATATATGCTTCTAAACTGTTGTATTCTGAGCACCTCTGCAAAAACAGTGATAATGTGTGAGTGTGGTGAAAGTGTTGAATGATGATGAAAGTATTTTCTTTTTGGGGATTTTCTTTCTTTTTTGGGTCACCCTGCCTCAGTGGGAGACGACCGACTTGTTGAAAAAAAAAAAAAATAATAATAATAATAATAATAATAATAATAATAATAATAATAATAATAATAATAATAATAATAATAATATCTTCATTTCTACAAGTACAAGGTATACAGACCATAGCTGACATCAGTGACATACTACTATATAGAAAGCCGCTTGTTATGCTGAGCATTTCAGACATTTTAGGTAAATTTTGTCCTGGGATGGCCACCCACACTAGTCCCATTTTACTTCTGGGTGAACATGGACAACCGGTGTAAGGAAACACGGCCAATGTTTCTACCCTTCCCAAAAATTGAACCCAGGCCCTCAGCATGTGAAGCAAGAGCTTTGCTACCAGACCACGGTTCAAGGAGGGACAAAAACATTATCTGCTGTAGTGTTTCCTCTTGAAAGTGTGGGTTACCCAAGTATTTTATCAAATTATCATAAAATAGTGCTAATAAAATAAATTACATTTAAATTCTTTCTTAACATCTCTACTGCCTACCACATTACAGTAGTCCGATTCTGCTCATAATAATCAACTCCTCTATTCAACCTGTCTCATTTAAATGGATTTCAGCCCAAAAAATAGTCTTCAAAATAGGGTAGAAATTAGAGTCAAGTTAAACAGATCGAGTCTTCTAAATAGGGGATAAAATAGATTTACAATTGACAGGTCAGTGGTTTTCAATCAATTCATCTGGGATACTCATTTAATGAAAAAATGAGCATGATAATGCAATACCTCTCGTGGTTTAACAGTATTTCCTCTGTAGACAGGTGTCACCGTCTCCTCATCGAAGTCATAGAATATCTTGAGGATGACGGAAGGTATGAAATATGCATTGCCATAAAGGTCGCGGAAGATTCCATAATGCTCTGCCAAGGTGCGAATATGGTGAGGACCAGTGAAGGTCTCCCACACTGCCTGAACCTTCTCCAAATCTGCCTCTACTGTAAAATTAAGAGTAAGGTTTAGCAGAGAAATTCTTCTAAACTAGATACAGTTCAATTACACTACACATAAACATATAGCACAGCTATGTGTATTCACATACAGCATATTCCTTTCTTTCTAATTATGTAATGTATAAATATACCTCAAAGTAGATGGAAAGTAATATGATAGGTTTCAACACAATTTCCTTCTAAATAATAATAATACACCTACCATCCAACTTACGACCGAGTTCGGTTCCGAGAAACTGGTCGTAAGTCAAAATGGTCGTAAGTCGAACTTTACTACTGAATATCAACAAAACATTTTTGTAATGACTTTTTATTGTTTTATTTTGGTATTTCATGTTTTACTTTACTTTTTATGCTGTTAGTATTGTATTTTATACTGTAAGGTTTAGGATAAACACTGTGTACAACACAAATAGTTGTTTATTTCCCAGAAATTTGGCATAAAAAACACGGTTGTAAGTCGAGTGATCATAAGTCGAGCAGGTCGTAAGTCGGATGGTAGGTGTAATAATAATAATAATAATAATAATAATAATAATATTAAAAATAATAATAATAATCTCTCTGAGATGGATGAGATATTTGACAAACACATCTGTTTTGTTCATCTCTTTTTGTATTGTATAATCCATCATTATACTATTATCAAAAGTATCCTTTAACCCTTAAACGGTCCAAATAGATCGACGTTCAAATTCGTAGTGCTCCAAAAGTAGATCTATGTTTTTTTTACATATTTTCAAATATAACAAAAAAAATGTAGATAAAAGTTTTTTTACACATTTTCAAATGTAAAAAAAACAAAGATGATGTACATTTTTTTACATACTTTCAAATGTTGAAAAAACGTATACTATATACATTTGGACCATTTAAGGGTTAACCCATAAACGGTCCAAACATATATATGTGTTTTTTAAACATTTTTTTACATTTGAAAATGTGTAAAAAAACTTTGATCTACTTTTTTTTTTTGTTATATATGAAAATATGTAAAAAAAACATAGATCTACTTTTGGAGCACTACAGATTTGAACGTAGATTTGCTTGGACAGTTTAAGGGTTAAGCATTAAGATATGTTTATCCAAAATGCACTGCATGCTATTGGCTTTCTTTTGCGATTCACAATACGCATGTTATTACATATAAAGTACATTGTCTGTGTCCTGCATAAAGGAAATAACAAATGTTAATTTGCTTCTCTAAGGCCGTGGGTCCCCACAGTTGCAATGAAGGTGAGATGTTTTAAGGCAGAATAGAAAAAGCACCAAATTTGAACAATGGAGGAAAAGAAAGTGTGAGGTTTAGATCGGAACTATGAAGTTGTAGTGCCTTTCTTTGATATGGGGCTACGAGCCTAACTTAGATGCAAGAGACAATACAGTATCTACACCATTCCCACAAACAGACGAAACTTTGTCGAACTGATTCATTCACTAACCCAATTTTTTGCCACTGTTGCACTTGTTCTTTTCTGTCGTGTAATGCCTGATACATAATAACACAAATCTTTCCTTTCTTTCAACACACCGGCCGTATCCCACCGAGGCAGGGTGGCCCAAAAGGAAAAACAAAAGTTTCTCCTTTTACATTTAGTAATATATACAGAAGAAGGGGTTACTAGCCCCTTGCTCCCGGCATTTTAGTCGCCTCTTACAACACGCATGGCTTACGGAGGAAGAATTCTGTTCCACTTCCCCATGGAGATAAGAAGAAATAAACAAGAACAAGAACTAGAAACAAAATAGAAGAAAACCCAGAGGGGTGTGTATATATATGCTTGTACATGTATGTGTAGTGTTACCTAAGTGTAAGTAGAAGTAGCAAGACATACCTGAAATCTTGCATGTTCATGAGACAGAAAAATGGACACCAGCAATCCTACCATCATGTAAAACAATTACAGGCTTTCGTTTTACACTCACTTGGCAGGACGGTAGTACCTCCCTGGGTGGTTGCTGTCTACCAACCTACTACCTAGGAATAACACAAATAGTAATGATAAAAGTCTTTATAACTAATTTCTTCCATGATGGAATGTGATTTTATTTTTTTCAACCCAGCCTTATCCCGCCAAGGCAGGGTGGCCTAAAAAACAAAAACAAAAGTTTCTATTTTTAAATTTAGTAATGTATTTATTTTTTTTTTATTTATTTATTTTATGTCTTTGCAAACATTACATTGAGATTTTATATTTACAATAGTGGGTTGCAATGCAAAGAGAGCCTCTATTATGCTTAGGCATTATGGGCCAACTTAACATTATTGGCTTACAGACTACTTAATACGTACTAAGGATTTTATCATAGTTGTACAGCAGGACAGCAATTATTTCATAGTTGAACAGTAGATTATTAATTATAAGTGAATTAAATTTGTATAAAGAATATATTCTTATAGTCTGAAATGCTTTTTGTGGAAAACAATGGTTCAATTATATTCCTGTCAACAATGGATAAAAGGTTCAAAGTGATTGTTGAAGTTATGATGTGGGAGTACATAGGTGAGTATATATGTACTGAGTATTTAGTGTTTAGTCTAGGGTGATTAATTGGCTTTTGAGAAGAGTCTTAAACTGGTTTTCAGACTGGGTTACTTTAGTATCTTCTGGTAATGAATTCCATATTTTGGGATCCTTTATGTGCATAGAGTTTTTACACAGTGTGATATGGACATGAGGTATATCAAAAAGAGATCTGTGTCTTGGAATATGATTTATATTTTTAAATTCATGGGAGCATTAAATGCAGGAGCACAGGGGTCATGCAGCCACTGCAGGAATTAAGGACAATGACGATTGAGCCAAGGAACGGAACGGAAGGTCCAAATTGTTGGATAAAGATCCCCTAACGGGTACAGCAGGGTCTCACATATACAGCACCTCTTTCTGGTGTTCTAGGTTTTCATTGGCTTTCAACTGAGACATTTTTCCACCAACTGGTGAAAATCATTGGTGGGTGGAACCTCCCTTCGAGGAGGGAATATAATTAGTAAATGGATAGTGACCCCCTAATTTAGAAGGTGTAGAAAATAATCTGTTTTGTAATATAATGAATAATCAATAATTTATCAGACATGAGTGACATTACACCTATCTCAAGTGCATAGCACCATTAATTTACACTAAACCATTGATTTAAACCACTTTGATTTAATGGACCTCAGAAATATTGGACAAAATACTGTACTCTGGGTAATATTGGACAAAATACTGTACTCTGGGTAATATTGGACAAAATACTGTACTCTGGGTAATATTGGACAAAATACTGTACTCTGGGTAATATTGGACAAAATACTGTACTCTGGGTAATATTGGACAAAATACTGTACACTGGGTAATATTGGACAAAATACTGTACTCTGGGTAATATTGGACAAAATACTGTACTCTGGGTAAACAGACTTGGAAACAATGGACAAAGTAGTTTTACTACAGAATTGTCCTATTTTTGTTACGCTTGTGGCAAAATAATCTCGCCTCCATCCCCCACAACTGCAATTACAAGCCTCTAGCTCCTTCCTTATTAGTCCATTAAACCAAGAGTTCACCAGCATAAGAGCACACTGGGTCATTAACAACCACTAAACATATAATAATAATAATAATAATAATTAATAATAATAATAATAATAATTAATAATAATAATAATTAATAATAATAATAATAATAATTAATAATAATAATAATAATTTATTTCAGTACGATACAATGTATACAAAGGTGAGGGACATTTAGGTGTACATGCAGAAAGCCCCTTATTATGCAGAGCATTTTGGGCAAACTTAAGACTAACCATACCACGGGTGGGGTTTGAACCCACAGCCAAACCCCGTGAGTCAAACTTAAGACTACCTTAAAATTAATAAGGTAATGACAATATGAGTAGTTTTATATATAACGTCACCTGGAAGAGTGTAAGTATAAATTTAGGAGTTACAATGAATACAAGAGGACTGAATATCCTATTAGTTCATGTTATATGGCTTTTGTCAAGTTTAATTTTTTAAAGAATTACAGGTTTGATTATGATTATAGGTGATGAGGATTCTAGTATAATAACATAAAGGGGACACAATCAATGTTTTAATGTTTGGGAGGATTACATATACATGTATTGAATAAGATTATATTGTTTTACCAGTGTTCGTGACATTAAGAATGTGGAAATGTAGTTTTCACATATTTAGTTGATGTTGTGATGTGTTAGGGAGAGGTGTTTTTTAACAGTAGTTTTGAAAATGCTGGCTGAGACAGTGGTTCTGGAGATTTCCGCCCGAGAGTTCCAGATTTTGAGTCCTTTTACGTACACAAATTTTTGAAGAGATTAAGCCGGACATGGAGAATGTTATAATTATATGGTAATAATGGTAGAATTACTGACAAAATGTTGGGTCCATTTACCTAACATATACAGACACTCTTTGCTTTACGATGGTTCAACTTACGATATTTCTACTTTATGATGGTGTCACTGCACCACTGTAAAGTAGAGATACACCTACCATCCGACTTATGACCGAGTTCGGTTCCGAGAAACCGGTCGTAAGTCGAAATGGTCGTAAGTCAAACTTTACTACTGAATATCAACATAACATTTTTGTAATAGACTTTACAGTGGACCCCCGCATACCGTTGGCATCACATAACGATTAATCCGCATACCGCTTGCTTTAATCGCAAAAATTTTGCCTCGCATACCGCTTAAAAACCCGCTCACCGCTGTTCGTCCGAGACGCGTCCAATGTGCGCCTTCAGCCAGCCTCACATGTGCTGCCTGTGCCATTGTTTACCAGCCAGCCTCCGCGGTAACATCCAAGCATACAATCGGAACATTTCGTATTATTACATTGTTTTCGGTGCTTTATCTGGAAAATAAGTGACCATGGGCCCCAAGAAAGCTTCTAGTGCCAACCCTACAGCAATAAGGGTGAGAATTCCAATAGAGATGAAGAAAGAGATCATTGATAAGTATGAAAGTGGAGTGCGTATCGCCGACCTGGCCAGGTTGTACAAGAAACCCCATTCAACCATCGCTACTATTGTGGGCACCAGAAAGGCAATCAAGGAAGCTGTTCTTGCCAAAGGTTTAACTGTGTTTTCGAAACAAAGATCGCAAGTGATGGAAGATGTTGAGAGACTCTTATTGGTGTGGATAAATGAAAAACAGCTAGCAGGAGATAGCGTCTCTCAAGCAATCATAAGCGAAAAGGCTAGGAAGTTGCATGAGGATTTAATTAAAAAAATGCCTGCAACTAGTGATGATGTGAGTGAATTTAAGGCCAGCAAAGGTTGGTTTGAGAGATTTAAGAAGCGTAGTGGCATACATAGTGTGATAAGGCATGGTGAGGCTGCCAGTTCGGACCACAAAGCAGCTGAAAAATATGTGCAGGAATTCAAGAAGTACATAGACAGTGAAGGACTGAAACCTGAACAAGTGTTTAATTGTGATGAAACAGGCCTGTTTTGGAAGAAAATGCCAAGCAGGACCTACATTACTGAGGAGGAAAAGGCACTCCCAGGACATAAGCCTATGAAAGACAGGCTTACTTTGTTGATGTGTTCCAATGGTACTGGTGATTGCAAAGTGAAGCCTTTATTAGTGTATCACTCTGAAACTCCCAGACCGTTCAGGCAAAAGAATGTCCTCAAGGAGAATTTGTGTGTGCTGTGGAGGGCAAACAGTAAGGCATGGGTCACTAGGGACTTTTTCTATGACTGGTTACACCATGCATTTGCCCCCAATGTGAAAGATTACCTAACTGAAAAGAAATTAGAACTTAAGTGCCTCCTCGTGTTAGACAATGCCCCTGGTCATCCTACAGATGTGGCAGAGCAACTTTATGGGGACATGAAATTCATTAAGGTGAAGTTTTTGCCTCCTAATACCACTCCTCTCCTGCAGCCCATGGACCAGCAGGTTATTGCAAACTTCAAAAAACTGTACACAAAAGCTCTGTTTGAAAGGTGCTTTGTAGTGACCTCAGAAACTCAACTGACTCTAAGAGAGTTTTGGAGAGAGCACTTTAATATCCTCAATTGTGTAAACCTTATAGGTAAGGCTTGGGAGGGAGTGACTAAGAAGACCTTGAACTCTGCTTGGAAGAAACTGTGGCCAGAATGTGTAGACAAAAGGGATTTTGAAAGGTTTGAGGCTAACCCTGAGAGGATTATGCCAGTTGAGGAATCCATTGTGGCATTGGGAAAGTCCTTGGGGTTGGAGGTTAGTGGGGAGGATGTGGAAGAGTTGGTGGAGGAGGACAATGAAGAACTAACCACTGATGAGCTGATAGATCAACTTCAACAGCAAGAGGCCAGACCTGAGGAAACTGGTTCAGAGGAGGGGAGAGAGAAATTGAAGAAGTTGCCTACTACAAAGATTAAGGAAATCTGTGCAAAGTGGCTTGAAGTGCAAACCTTCATGGATGAAAATCACTCTCACACAGCTATTGCAAGCCGTGTTGGCAACCTGTACACTGACAATGTTGTGAAACACTTTAGGGAAGTCATAAAGGAACGAGAGGTACAGGCCACTATGGACAGATATGTTGTGCGACAGAAGTCCAGTGACTCTGAAGCTGGTCCTAGTGGCATTAAAAGAAGGGAAGTAACCCCAGAAAAGGACTCGACACCTCAAGTCTTAATGGAAGGGGATTCCCCTTCTAAACACTAACACTCTCTCTCCCCTCCTCCCATCCCATCAATCATCACCAGATCTTCAATAAAAGTAAGTGTCATGTAAGTGTGCATGCCTTTTTCAGTTTGTGTGTATTAAAATTAACATTTCATGTGGTAAAAAATTTTTTTTTCATACTTTTGGGTGTCTTGCACGGATTAATTTGATTTCCATTATTTCTTATGGGGAAAATTCATTCGCATACCGATTATTTCGCATACCAATGAGCCCTCTTGCACGGATTAAAATCGGTATGCGGGGGTCCACTGTATTTTATTGTTTTATTTTGGTATTTCATATTTTACTTTACTTTTTATGCTGTTAGTACTGTATTTTATACTGTAAGGTTTAGGATAAACACTGTGTACAACACAAACACTTGTTTATTTCCCAAAAATTTGGCATAAAAAATACGGTCGTAAGTCGAGTCGTCGTAAGTCGAGCAGGTCGTAAGTCGGATGGTAGGTGTATCACCATCATACAGTACTGTACATTTATTAATAGGATAAACATGTATTCATTTAATTACTTTTCAATACTGGTACAGCCTCTCCTCACTTAGTGACATATTCGTTTACCGACACCTCAGACTTACTACAGGCTCTCTTACCAGTATTCGTACCTAAATAATGTATATCAGAGCTGATTTCCTCTATTCTGTTTATTTCAACATACAGTGGTACCCTGAGTTTCGGCCATATTTCGTTCCAGAAGGCTGTTCGAGTGCTGTTACCGAACGAATTTGTTCCCATAAGGAATAATGCAAATTAGATTAGTCCATTTCATGCCCCCAAAAATACACTTACAAAAGCACTTACAATAACACACTTACATAATTGTTCAGGTTGGGAGCTGTACGAAACTCAGGGTACCAATGTACAGTACACCAATGTATAAACATTTAAAAATATACCACATATGTTATAAATGGTGCAAAGGTGACATTAAAACAATATCAAAGATAGATGACACAAACTCACTACCATTATAGTATGCTCCTCACTTAGCGACGAATTTGTTTAATGACGTGGTTTTAGGAACAGAACGCCATCGTTAAGTGAGGAGAGGCCGTATTTAGTTACCTTTGATGATTTTCAAGAGTTTTACTACTCTCGGAGCCTGGCCATGGGCCAGGCTAGTCTGGTGCTTGCCTGGTCAACCAGGCCATTGCTGCTGGATGCCCACTGCCCCACATATCCAGTACTTATTTATTTATTTATCATATATTCATATTCAACTTATGATATTTTCAACTTACGATGGGTTCATCAGAATATATGACCGCACTGTAAGTCGAGATGCACCTGTACTTACGTGTCCCAATACGAGACTTTTTCTCTATCAGTGGATTCTCTCTCAGCACCCTGATGTGTTGAAGGCGCTGGCCAAGCTGCTCCTTACGGTCTGTCTTCACAGTTGGGAACCCAATATTAACTGGGGCATAGAGTTCAGGATCATCTTTTGTTACATCCAATTCTGTAAAAACATATTAGCTTTGAAGTATTTATGCACACATGCTTAAAAAAAGTTTTTAATAGGCCTCATATATAATTTTACACTTTTACAAAGGTTACACATAGTAAATTATGTAGAATTTAACCTAGGATAACCCAATAAATTCAAGTAATATAATAGTTGTGTACATCACTGTAATTTACTTAAAAAAAATCCCTCACAATACAGCACATATTTCACAGGTTCGGACATTTTGGAGTGGACATGTCAGCAGATCAGCAGATGGGTTTATGATAAACAAGGTGAACCATCGAAATGGCATTGTGGTGCATTGAGGCATCAGTAGAGACAAAGAACTTTATCCATGGAGGTTAAAAGCTAAGAATGCAACTGCTCTCATTGACATTACCTACATATTCATCAGTTGGTGAAGAGTCTCCCAAGATTTTCCTTCTGGCTAAGAATTCTTCCATGTGGAAACTTCGTTAAACTACTAGCAAGCATTAGCCTAACCTAAGCTAACCTATTCTAATCTAACCTAACCTAACCTAATCTAACCTAACCTAAATTATGTTGATGGGTACCTCATGGTTATATTTTAAGACAATACCATGTCTGCCACCTGGATAACCCGAATAGTATTGGTAACATGAGAATCAGAGACTCAGCCAGACACCTTTAATACATCAAATTTGTTAAAGTCCACTCACCTCTACATAGTTCCACTGATGTATTCATTCTGATATGCTAATTTACAAGACAATACAAATAAAAATTCCACAATAAAACGAAACAATGATTGAAAAAACTATTAAACCTAAGCTGTGATGGATGTATGGGCCAGGGGAGCTGCCAAGAGCAACAACCTGGCTGACCAGGCAATCAACAGAGGCCTTAGCCCAAACCAGAAAAACTAATGAAACAGGTCACAGGGAAATCCCAGGCACAGGTCGGCCATCACTAATCCGGCAATCAGTCATCCGGTTCCATCAATAATCCAGCACTAATTTCAGCTAGCATAATTTCAAATTTCCAGGGTCACCACACCAACCTGCTGCTATTGTTTGATGGCGCTACTTGCTGAATAAGTCATTCCAATTTCTTTTTCTCCATTTGTTACAACCTGTTTACTTTTAGCCCTAGCCACGGTTCCAACAAATAAAAGAAATGCTTCTCATTGTGTAAAGCACATACACAGTACGGTGTCCATAAAATATAAGGTGGCTTTAAAGCCACTGTCGGTTGCTATGAACTCAGTCTCGTGATGCACAGCAATATGCTGTATTATTATGCTAATATCAACACTACGGCTTATTTACCTATCACAATTGATCTAATATGACATGATAAACAATATTAATAACATAAAAACATGGTAAATACTCCAGAACGAATAATATTTGGCATAATACCGAGCGGTTCGAAGGTGGTATGAAGAGGATATGGGATACAAGTACCATCCTCCTATCCCTGTCTTGGGGGCTTATATTAAAGAAAACAGAGTGTAGCACAGAGCTAACTGTGATATACATTCATAATGCACCATAAAACTGAAACAAAAAAGCTATTTTCTCTACACAGATTATCATACATAGCAGCATATATGTAGAGAACTTGGGATAACCCAAAAAAGTCAGATAAAGTGACTTATTTCCAGTACCTGGCTTGGGCTTGCCATATATGATTTTGGTAAATATTTTTTTTCAGTTGTTTGTTGGGCTATCTTATTGAAACTTGGGCAATGTATGATGGAAAGATGATTCTTAACATACAACAAAAATGAAAGAAATCGGACAATAAATAATGGAGTTCACTCCTCAGCCATTAGCTGCCCCTTAGCAGTATATTTCATATGGTTTTTATGGTTGTATTCTCGTTTTTTTTTGGTCTTATTTGATAGAATCAAAGATGCATTACAGAAATAGATGAAATTGAAATTGAACTCAAAGCAGCAGAAATGTTCGATATTTGCCATGCTCAAGAGTAAACAAATGTCACCGTCCAATACATGTCCATCTGGCCAGTCTAATACGCAGTCATGAACAGGATGACAGTATTTATATTAAGACACGTGTGCGGCGTCTGGTTGTCTTTGTTGTGGACGTTTCGCCATCCAGTGGCCGGCTGGATGGCAAAACGTCTACGATAGGGATGCCCGGGTGTTGCGCACGTGTCTTAATTTCATCTTGTCGGTATTATATACCATTCTTGTACTGCTACTACTACTACTACCACCACCTCTTCCTGCCTATATATAGCCATCCTGCTCCACTTCTGGTTAGTGTGACTTTGTCAATGGTCCAAGTCGGACCGAAATGTCGTCGTAAGCTTCTCTCTTTTATGTGCGGGTTATTTGTGTATGCAGTAGTCTGCATAATAAAAATTCAAAATGGAAAGCAAGAGTAACATAAGAGGGGCCTGGAGATGTGACTGATGAACAGAGAAAATGATATTTTATTGCCAGGAATGTCTGCACTGTTTATTCTGGACCCTATTTTGAAATTGGCATCTTTTGAAATTTGTGTGAAATTGGCCAAATTACCAATTTCTGACCACTTTATTGGATAGTTGAAACAAGTGAATGGGAGGTTTCTTGTACTCAGTCAATAAAATAGAAGTAAATAATTAAGTTTATTCAAGTATACACAGTCGATGGGTTTTAACGCATAATAAACCAGCTAGTCATTTTGAATAACAAACCAGAAACAAGAACAGATCTTGCAAGAACCCTTGCAAGACCTGTTCTTACAAGAGTTGCACTGAAGTGAAGGTTCAGTGCAACACTTGTATAAACTTTGCTGAATTTAAACAGCACTACAGAAGGAATACTTGCAAAACAGCTATGAGTTTGGTAGTCTGGAACAATGGAATGTGCCAAAAATAGAGCGTAAATTCGGTGATATCGCCAATGCGTAAATACTGCCATTGGGTGAAGTGTATTCTAACCTAACCACTCTGTAATCCGGCAAAGTCACTAGTTTGGTACACCACAGGTCCTGATGATGCCGGATTAATGATGGCCAACCTATAATACATAAAGCCAGGATCTTATGGATTTCAAAATACTGTATATGACAAAATCTGCTGGGTCAACTGATTCATCAAAACAATCTCATCTCAATCTGTCACAATCACTGCTACCGGCCACTCGTGACCTCCTCTTCCCAATTAGGGTCTGTACATGAATGATATACAATACCAACAACATGAATCAGACACATGCAATATCTGGCATCTTTATTTGTTGACGTTTTGCCATCCAGTGGCTTTATCAATGCAAATTCGAGAATATAATGGGAAGAGTGTAGAACTATATACAAAAGACGAGGTAATCAGTTCCTCAGCCTTGGAATTGGTAAAGAGTACTGTAGTCTAAAAGAATATATAAATGGTCCAAGTCGGACCGAAACGTCGTCATAAGCTTCTCTCTTCTATGTGTGGGTTATTTGCGTATCGTTCCAGTCACGGTATTGTGCCTTTTTTTGTTATTTATGTCCTTGAATTTGTAATAATAAAGTCACTGGATGGTGAAATGTCTACAAATAAAGATACCCAGATGTTGCACACATGTCTGTCTTCACCCATTAAGGTCTATTATACTAGACTGTAACCCAAATAATTTTTCTTATAATCATATTTAGTCAACTTACGTATGCATTCATTATACGTATACTTATTTATATACATTTAACAACCTTAAATACATATATATAATATTTATTGCCACTGTTTAAGGATTAAGGATCTTATTTCTTTGCATAGTTTACAATGTGTAATTACAATTCTGATTTGCTAAGTACAAAGACAGCCACTATCATGCCAGGGCATTTCAGACTTAAGCTTGCCTGAAATGCTTAAGCTTGCCTGAAATGCTTAAGCTTGCCTGAAATGCTTAAGCTTGCCTGAAATGCTTAAGCTTGCCTGAAATGCTTAAGCTTGCATGAAATGCTTAAGCTTGCCTGAAATGCTAAAGCTTGCATGAAATGCTTAAGCTTGCATGAAATGCTTAAGCTTGCATGAAATGCTTAAGCTTGCATGAAATGCTTAAGCTTGCATGAAATGCTTAAGCTTGCATGAAATGCTCTGCATAACCATGAACTTTCTATATACATTCAAGTGTCACTTTTTTTTTTATATACAATATATCATGTGGAAATAAACTTTGACTTAAAAAAAAAAAATTATTAAATTTATTGTATCCTGTCACCCCACTGGAAATAAGTCACTCGGACTTTTTTGGGGGGATATATTATGTAAACTACACATACGTTACAATGTATGATAATTGTACTTATGTGTACCTGTACCTAAATAAACTTATTACAGTGGAACCCCAGTGTTCAAGCTAAATTGATTCCTAGGTGGTATTCAAACTGCAAAAAGCTCAATGTCTGAAACTATTTTCAAGGCTTTAATTATCATCCTCACACACTGGACGATGCTGAACTGATCCTTCCAAAAGTCTATGAGAGTTAGGTCAGTGTCAGAGGTCACTTCAAAGCGCTTTTGAAATGGCTTCCTGTAATTTTTTTTACAACTGAATTTTAAACACGTCAGAGTGTTCGAACTCCAGAAAAACATAAAAGATAATTTTTAACCCAAGATTACTAACCCACCACTGGGTCAATAATCTTGGGTTATCCTGGGTTACTAACCCACCACTGGGTCAATAATCTTGGGTTATCCTGGGTTACTAACCCACCACTGGGTCAATAATCTTGGGTTATCCTGGGTTACTAACCTACCACTGGGTCAATAATCTTGGGTTATCCTGGGTTACTAACCCACCACTGGGTCAATAATCTTGGGTTATCCTGGGTTACTAACCCACCACTGGGTCAATAATCTTGGGTTATCCTGGGTTACTAACCCACCTTTGGGGTTAATAATTCCAACAAATTCTTATCACAACTAAGTATTGGAGGTAGAAAAAAATAAAGCATAAAAATTAGTTCCCGACAGCCGTTCCTCTCAGATCAATACCATTATAACGTTCTTGTGGAGCGCTAAACCCACTGGGG